AAGGATGAGCAATCATTGGTCATTAATATCCCTCAATATTAATGGCCTTAACTCACCCATAAAAAGACACAGACTAGCAGATTGGATTCGAAGACAGAACCCTTCCTTCTGCTGCATACAGGAAACACACCTCACCCTTAAAGACAGACATTACCTGAGAATTAAAGGTTGGGAAAAAATTTTTCAATCGAATGGACCCAAGAAACAAGCCGGGGTATCAATCCTAATATCTAACAAACTAGACTTTAAAATAAAATCAATCAAAAGAGATGAAGGAGGTCATTACATACTCATCACAGGTGAAACCCACCAAGAGGAAGTGTCTATTCTGAACATCTATGCCCCAAATACAAAGGCATCCACATTCGTTAAAAAAACATTATTAGAAATTAAATCTCATCTAAAGCCCCACACAGTTATAGTGGGAGATTTCAACACACCACTCTCACCACTAGACAGGAATACCAAACAGAAACTCAACAAAGAAGCAAAAGGGCTAATAGAAGTAATGACCCAACTGGGATTAACAGATATCTATAGAACATTTCATCCACATAAAAAAGAATATACCTTCTTCTCACCACCACATGGAACCTTCTCAAAAATCGACCACATACTTGGCAACATATCAAACCTCAGCAGCTACAAAAAAATTGGAATAACTCCTTGCATCTTATCAGACCACCATGCTTTAAAATTAGAATTCAACAACAACACAAATTGCAGAAAACCTACAAACTCATGGAAATTGAATAATGCTCAACTGCACCATCCCTGGGTCAAAGAGGAAATAAAAAAAGAAATTAAAGACTTCCTCGAATTCAATGAGAATGAAGACACAACATACCCAAACCTATGGGACACTTTGAAAGCAGTGCTACAGGGGAAGTTCATAGCGCTAAATGCTCACATGAAGAAACAGGAGAACAGTTATACCAGAGAATTAACATCACAGCTGAAAACTCTAGAACACAAAGAAGCACACTCCCCCAGGAGGAGTAGACGCCAGGAAATAATCAAATTGAGGGCTGAAATCAATAAAGTAGAAACCAGGAAAACAATACAAAGAATCAACGCAACGAAGAGTTGGTTCTTTGAGAAAATCAACAAGATAGACAAACCTTTGTCCAAACTTACCAAACAGCAGAGAGTGAACACGCAAATTAACAAAATTAGAAATGAAAAGGGGGACATAACAACAGACTCTGAGGAAATCCAGAGAATCATTAGGTCATACTTTGAAAACCTGTACTCCACAAAATTCGAAAATTTAAAGGAAATGGATGACTTCCTGGACAGCTATCAATTGCCAAAACTAAATCAAGAACAGATAAGCAATTTAAATAGACCTATAACCCCTATGGAAATAGAAGCTGTCATCAAAAGTCTCCCAACCAAAAAAAGCCCAGGTCCAGATGGCCTCAGTGCAGAATTCTACCAGAAATTCAAAGAACAGCTTATACCAATTCTTCTCAAAGTGTTCCACACAATAGAAGCAGAAGGGTCTTTGCCAAACTCTTTCTATGAGGCTTCAATAACCTTGATCCCCAAGCCACACAAAGATACAACTAAGAAAGAGAACTTCAGACCAATATCCCTCATGAACATTGATGCAAAAATACTCAATAAAATACTGGCAAATCGGATCCAAGAACACATCAAAACAATCATTCACCACGATCAAGTAGGTTTCATCCCAGGAATGCAGGGATGGTTCAACATACGAAAATCCATCAACGTAACCCACCATATAAACAAGCTGAAAAACAAAAATCACATGATCATCTCACTAGATGCTGAAAAAGCCTTTGACAAAATCCAACACCCCTTCATGATAAAGGTCTTGGAGAGATCTGGGATAACAGGGACATACTTAAACATAATAAAAGCTATATACAGTAAACCAACAGCCAACATCAAACTAAATGGACAGAAACTCAACGCAATTCCTCTAAAATCAGGAACAAAACAAGGCTGTCCACTCTCTCCATACCTTTTCAACATGGTACTTGAAGTTCTAGCTATTGCCATACGACAACAAAGGGGGATCAAGGGGATACAAATTGGGAAGGAAGAGGTCAAACTTTCACTGTTTGCAGACGATATGATAGTTTACATCAATGACCCAAAGAACTCTACCAGGGAACTCTTACAGCTGATTAACACCTTCAGCAAAGTGGCAGGCTACAAGATCAACTCAAGAAAATCAGTAGCCCTACTATATACAGATGATAAAAGGGCTGAAAGAGAAATCAGAGAAACATCACCCTTTACAATTGCCACAAACAACATAAAATACCTTGGGGTAACGCTAACCAAACAAGTGAAAGACCTGTATCGTAAGAACTTTGAGTCTTTAAAGAAAGAAATTAAAGAAGCCCTCAGAAAATGGAAAGATCTCCCATGCTCTTGGATAGGTAGGATCAATGTAGTAAAAATGGCAATCCTGCCAAAAGCAATCTACAGATTCAATGCAATCCCCATTAAAATCCCAGCACAGTTTTTCACAGACCTTGAAAGAACAATAATCAATTTTGTATGGAAAAACAAAAGACCCAGGATAGCCAAAACAACCCTGTTCAACAAGGCAACGTCCGGAGGCATCACCATCCCTGACCTCAAGCTCTATTATAGAGCTATAGTCCTGAAAACACCTTGGTATTGGCACAAAAATAGACAGGTAGACCAATGGAATCGAATTGAAAACCCGGGTATTAACCCACACACATACGAACATCTGATCTTTGACAAAGAAGCTAAAAATATACAATGGAATAAAGAAAGCACCTTCAACAAATGGTGCTGGCATAATTGGAGACTGGCATGTAGAAGAATGCAGATCGATCCATGTCTATCGCCATGCACAAAACTTAAGTCCAAATGGATCAAAGACCTCAACATAAATCCAGCCACACTGAACCTCTTAGAAGAGAAAGTGGGTGGTACCCTTGAACGAATTGGTACAGGAGACAGCTTCCTGAACATAACACCAGTAGCACAGGCAGTAAGATCAACAATTAATAAATGGGACCTACTGAAACTGAGAAGCTTCTGTAAGGCAAAGGACACAGTCAGCAAGACAAAAAGGCAGCCCACAGAATGGGAAAACATCTGACAGAGGGTTGATCTCCAAAATTTACAAAGAACTCAAGAAGCAAGTCTCCAAAACACCAAAGGACCCTATTAAAAAGTGGGCTGCAGAACTAAATAGAGAGTTTTCAATAGAGGAGTCTAAAATGGCTGAGAGGCACTTGAGAAAGTGCTCAACATCCTTAGCCATCCGGGAAATGCAAATCAAAACAACTCTCAGATACCATCTCACCCCTGTCAGAATGGCTAAAATCAAAAACACCAATGACAATTTATGCTGGAGAGGATGTGGTGAAAGGGGGACACTCCTCCATTGCTGATGGGAGTGCCAACTGGTTCAGCCACTTTGGAAATCAGTGTGGAGATTCCTCAGAAAAATGGGAATAAACCTACCACAAGACCCAGCAACTCCACTCTTAGGCATATATCCAAAAGATGCCCATTCATACAACAAAGATGTCTGTTCCACTATGTTCATAGCAGCTTTATTTGTAATTGCCAGAACGTGGAAACAACCTAGATGTCCCTCACCTGAAGAGTGGATAGAGAAAATGTGGTACATCTACACAATGGAGTACTATTCAGCAGAAAAAAATAATGGAATCATGAGATTCACAGGCAAATGGATGACACTAGAAGAAACCATCCTGAGTGAGGTAACCCAGTCACAAAAAGAGAAACATGGCATGTACTCTCTCATATATGGATTTTAGACATAGATCTGGGGAACGCCAGCCTACAATCCTATGGCCAGAGAGTCTGGGAAACAGAAACTTTATTTAGTGGCTGATCGAAGAAGAGGCAGACTCCCTTGGTTAAGTACTGAGCTGAACTCAAGAAAGCCAGTAACAGAGAGGGAGGACTGATGATCAAAGGGATTAAGACTGGGCTGGTTTAACCCCCAGAAACAGCTGACCAGACAAAGGTTAACTCTTGAATCCCAGGCATTAGCCTGGGAAGCCAGCATGGGACTGATCAAGACCCCCCTGAATCTGGGTGTCAGTGAAGAGGCCTAGGGAATCTATTGAGCCTTGGGCAGCAGATCAGTACCCATCCCAAGTATACACACGGACTTTGGACTCCAATAGAACAATGTGAGGTGCACTCTCACCCAGAACTCTTGGGAAAGGGTCTAGGCCCTGCCCTATATGAAATGACACACTATGGACACCCCCATGGAGGGCCTCATCCTCCCTGGAGAAATGAGAGGATAACGGGGGGGGGGTGGAGGGCACGGAAGGAAGAGAGGGAATGGGAGAGGGACCTGGAACTGACTTGTGAAGCAACCTTGATTCTTATCTAAATTTAAACTGGAAAATAAAATTAAAAAAAATGGAATTTTGAAATTTGCAGGCAAAAGAATGGCATTACAAGAAACCATCCTGAGTAAGGCAACCCAGTCACAAAAAGATAAACATGGCATGTATTCACTCATATTTGGATTTTAGAAATGGAACAGGGGAGTACCAGCTTTCAACCCACCACCAGAGAGTCTGGGAAACAGGGAGGACCCTAAGAGAGATATGCATGGTACCCCAGAGAAGGGAGATGGGACAGAATCTCCTGAGCCAATTGGGAACATGGTGAGAAGGGAGAGGGAGCTGGAAGAAAGACAGGAGAAGAAGAAGAGGGGAGAGGAGGACATGGGGAGAGGTCATGTTGTCTCTTTATAGCAATAAAAAAACTCTATTTCTTTTCCTCCCTCCCTTTAGTCCTATCCTGTGTTTTGATACAAGCATCTCTTCATGAAAGTAGATTGTAAGAATGCCTTATTCACATCTTGATGGGATATTTTTTGAAAAATAAGATGTTGGATTTTGAAGAGTGAGACTGGTTCAAACTGATTTGGCTACCCTCCAATTTAATTACACCTCATAGACATCTATTCCCTAATGGTTTCCTTCCACCAGCTCTACGGTGCAAGTAGTTCTACCAGAACTGCCCAAGCATGGTCGGGTAAGAAGACAGAATTCTTGGAAACATTGTGATATCTTCCTGACAGGTAATAAATATTTCATCTATTTTTTTATATACCTGACTTTCCTCTCACAGGGAAACACATGACCTCCCCTTTTTCATGAGCTATGAAACCTATCACTGGGTTCAGCAATTTGTTCAAAGAGCTCACAGAACTCTGGGGTAGGAAATCTACTTACCATCCCTTGTTTTTGTTTTTGAGGACTAGGTTACAGAACAGCCATACTATCACTCATTTGTTTTAAGGACTAGGTTACAGGAACAGCCAGATGGAAGAGATGAATAAGACAAAGTATAGGGGAAGAGGGTGTGCACTCTCTGTCTTTATGGGCAATTTGCCTTCTCAGTGTTTGGATGTGTTCATAAGCACCAGGCATGCTGGACTTGTTCATTGAGACTGCAGCACATTCACAAAATAAACATGACTAGTTGAATCATGGAGCGTTTGTGTAGAGTTTCACCTCTCACCCCTCTTTCCTTCTCAGAAGCTTAAGATGGGGTTAGAACTTGCAACCCTTTAACCTTGCTTCCTTCTTTCTGGTGGCCAGTGCCATCTGAAACTATCTAGAATTCTCCAGTCCCCAATCATGTCACCATTCCAAATGACAATTTTTACTTCAGGGATTTTAAACATTATCAAAATTATTGACTAATGCCAAGTGTTACAGGGGAAAAGGAATATTTATATTAACATACCACTCAAAAATTATGAGAATCTAGGTGCTTTGTGGCCTGCATGAGAGGCAGATACACACAGACATGCATCTTTCTATATGACAACGTCATGCTCCATTACTTAACCTTGTCCCTAAGTGATTCACTCCGGATCTGGCTATGATGTTGTTCCCTTTCAATCCTTTACTTTGCCATTTCCACCCTCCAAGCAAAGGAGATTTTAACACAATGTAAAAGGTGGATTGGAAATCACGAAGACACTTTCTGTTATCGGGGCATGACATTATAATCACATTACTTGACTACAACTTCTCATTTCAGACTAAGGTAGGTCTATATTCTCCCTGTCTCAGTTGGGACATTCTTTTTGTTCTTTTCCTACAAGCGCAATGTAACACAATAAAAACCCATAGACAGATATTGGGGTTCAAGCTTCAAGACGAAGATCTGAAAAGGAAAGCATTTATTCACTAGCTCTTACCTCTACCTCTACCAGAAATAAATGAACTTGTGTCCACAAATCATCAGAGTGCAATGAAGACTGCACTGCCTTCCACCAAGCTTCAGACTGCTCTGAGTTCCTATCTCCTCTACCCTTATATTCCCCTCCGTGACCAGCCACATCACTCCTGTCCCACCTCCCTAGTGCTTGGATTAAAGGCATGGGATCCCAAGTGCTGAAATCACCTTTGTATGAGCTGTTTCTCTTTTAGAATGGATCAATTTCATGTAGCTCAGTGTGGCCTTGAACTAACAGAGATCCATCTGCCCCTGTCTCCCAAGTTCTGGGATTAAAAACAAGCTTGTAGCTAGCTTTGCATTCTGAGCCCTAAGGCAAGCTTTATTTAACCATAAACACAGGAGAACAATGCTTTTCTCTTCAGAGTTCCCTGTAACTTGCCTGATACACTATGATTTGAGATTCTTCCTGTCAAAGGCAGGTCCAGGCAGAGCAGTTTTCTATTTAAGTATTGTATTCTACTTCTCCTCTTGAACTTTTTCATTAAACCCTCTGGTGAGTAGCTGTGGTGAGCCTCTGTGGTGAGGAGCTTTGTGCAGAACTTTCCCTTCCTGGATTGTTTCCTTGTGATGTAGAGGAAAAGGTGTGATGACTCACTCACCACTCTGGGTGGCGAACCATCCTCTTAGAGACAAACTCTACGAATCACTGAGCTTTGGTATCATAAATTAAATGCAAACTAAGTGAATTTGCACAACCCAATTCCTTCTCCACAAAGAGGACATTGAAAACCATTTTAAATCAAAATACTCAGTTTTCTTCATTATTTCCATTATCCCCTAATGTAATAAACACCTTTCTTCTTCTATTTCTGATAAAGTATTTCCTCCCAATTACTGACAATGTCCTGTAAGTATTACAAAGTTCATATTGAAATAACATACGTGTAAATACAGAGGAGCGTATTTTGCCAAGATTATGCCCAGTATGTTTTTCTATTGTAAACCTAGCTTTATAATAATGCCATATGACTTAGGGTTTAGAGGTAAGCAGGGAGAAATAATGTATATGTAAATTGAATTTTCTTACCGCATCATAGTCTCCTTTAGGTAGTAAAAGCAACATCTCTCAGATGTGATCTTTGTGAATATTAACTGCTGAGCACCACTGTGCACAGGTTATTATTGCTTAGTCATGTGTTCTATTTAAATCCCATTATTCCCCTAGCAGGAGTACCAATATTAGCATACCTGTTTATAGACTCTCATGCTCCACTGCCAGAGCCAGCTGGACGCTCATATTCCAATTCAGAAGGATCCAGGTGCATGGGGTGTGAACCAGCCATTGGAAATGGAAAGCATATAGAATATATATTCATCTGTGTAGATGGGAACTTAGTTTTGCTATTAATCCTAACTTCAAAATTATACACACAGCTAATTAAACCACCAGGTGTCTTAGTGTGAGGCCATTTAATTACTTGCATCTTATTTTGAGGGCAATGGTTGTTAATTACCAAGTTGCAAGAGAAATTAATACCAAGTTGCAAGAGAAATTAAATATGATGCTCCTTTCTCTGCCAGAGGAATTGTGATTGAAAGGAGAGGCTGCACTAGGTCAAACTGAAAGAGAGTGTTGGAGGAAACACTGTGGCTGTGTTTAAATCAGATAATGCAGCTTTGTTTTAGGTCTTATGTCAATTTGAATGGGGTGGGGGGAGAAGAAGATGACATCGAAGGTGAGACCTTTGGGTTTGTTGTTTCTTGGTTATAAATTAGTCATACTGGGAGACTCATGGTCCTCAGAACTTGTCAAAATTAGGTTCCAGGGAACAAAGGTTTGTGAAGTCTGTTGGTTAATTTATGTTTTTAGGATTTCCAAGGACAAACTAAGTTGCAGAATTCTTAGCTGACCCTTTAAAATGTATAATTATTTTAATAGTTCTTGGTCTGTCTCCTAAAATTTGAGCAGGGACATGAGTTTTCTCAGAACATGTTAGAAATAGGCGGAGTGGGGCCTCTGGGTTCCACTGAGTTTAAGAACTTTTACATTATTCTGTATTAAGAAAGTCCATCAGCACACTCAGCAGGTGGCAGGTCCAGGTTACTAAACAGCACAGGAAAAAGACACTGTAGAATGTTACATGCCAACTTCTTCCCGTTATTAAATGATCATTTTTTTGTTTTATAATTAAACAAATTGATATGATACATTTTGATCATGTTCCATCCCTCTTCTATCGTCCCAGGTCTTTCTCACATTCCTACCCATCCAACTTCAGTACTCTTTCCCCTCTCTCAGAAATTAAAAAAAAAAAAGAAAATCAAAACAAACAAAGTCACTACTTCCCCCAAAAGAAATCACCCAGAGACTGTTTTGTGTTGGCCAACTATTGTTGATCATGGGACCTGCCTGGAGTGAGGTTAAAGTGCCTAGTGGCCCTCCGTTGGAGATAAGTGATTTTCATTTTGACAGTTAGAGTCAATTGTAAATAGGTTTTTGGTTAGGGCTGGGACTCTATGTCCACTTCCACATTTCAGTGCTGAGATTCTGTGTAACGTGAATTTATGCAGGTCCTGTGCATGCTGCCACAGTCTCTGTGAGTTCACGTGTCATCAGTCCTGCTGTGTGCGGGAAACACTGCTTCCCTGGGGGTCATTCATTGCCTCTGGCTCTTGCAAATTTTCCACTTTTTTCTCTGCGTAGACCCCTGAGACTGAGAGGAGTGGTTTGATGAAGACATGCTATTGAGGACTGAATGCTCCAAAGTCTCTCTGCACACTGTCCAGTTGTGGGTCTCTGTGTTCTTTCCCATCTACTGCAAGAAGAAGCTTCTCTGTTGAGGGTTGAGTGAGGCATAAATCTATGGGTATAGCAATATATCATTAGGACTCATTTTATTGCTCTGTTTCTCTAGAGGAAAAATAGTAGTAAGTTCCCCTATGTCTCAAAAGGCAAATATTTGTATGTTTTCTCTTATATGTGGATTTTAGCTTCTAAGCTTCCCATATGCATACTACACTCTAAATAACAACAAATGCTAGGTACTGGTAAAGGACAAAGGAGGAAGAAGGAATCTCCCAAGGAAGGAGAAATAGAAAAAAGTATTACAAAAACATAAATGGGAAATTAGAATATGAAGATTAAATGGGGCAGGATGGAGGAACATGATAAAAAAGGGATCATGAGTAATGTCAACTAAAACTAAAAGACATTGCAAAACTATATAGAAATCTACTACTGTGGCAGCTCCCTACAATTTATAAATACATAAAACGGATTTAAATTGAATCACCATACAATGGAAGATACAATGCCACAACTGGTCATCTTATGTGACCCAGTAAAACCTTCAGTGCTAGGAATGGATGATATCTTGTTGAATCATTGACCAAAGGACATTCCCCCCAAACATCTTAGGCTATTGTCAAGACTGTTAATTGCTCTCTACAACCTGATTACAAGGAGGTGAGGGTGTCAAATGTATAAACATAGAGCAAACAGTACAACTGACTGCATCTGTCTGTATCCTACATTCTGGAGATATAGCCATCAAAACAGTGGTGCTCATATTTAATTACCTAGGCATCAAACCAGATTATTCTGATTTAATATGCATTGAGTTGTTCTAGAAATTAGCCTTAAAAATTCAGCAGATTTATTTGTTTGTTTGTTTTCTCTGTGACTTTGGAGATGAAACTTAAAGTTTACTCATTGTAGTAGATGGCTTTATGTCAACTTGACACAAATTAAGTCACCAGAGAGGAATGAGCCTTGAGTGAAAAAATGCCTCCATTTTCTTAATTAGTGATCAGTTGGGTAGGGTTCAGCCCAGGATGGGTGGTTCCATACCTGGGTTGGTGTTTCTGAGTTCTGTAAGAAAGCAAACT